TACTAAAGCAACGCTCTCCAGCATTCTGTCGCTCCGTTAATATTCTACTAACATTTCTGAAATGGTGACAATGGCAGGTGCAGGTGAGTGCTGGAGGTTGAGGGGCAGGTGAAGGGGGTTACAATCGGCATTTACCGGCTGGTTATCAGCTGGTTCCCAAAACAATATCCTAACACAGAAGGTCCCACAACAACGACACTGGAAGTTGGGGCTCCAGTTTGGCAGAGTAACACTGTAAAAGAAATGTAGTCATCTGTTCTTCAACCATAGAAAATGGAGCCTCTGACAGTCCAGTTGGCCATGACATCCTTTAATGTGTAATAGAATCACCTTCAGTCTTTACGCTAGACCACGGGTAACTGTGTGCTTGACAACAGGAGTGCGACGGCGTCCATTTTATCCAATAGCTGTTGTTGGAGTCAGAGGGCTCCTTCATGGTCTTCTCCATTAACATTGTGCTGCCTCAGACGAATCCCACAAAGCTGCAGACTGAACGATAACTGATGACTAGAGGGCCCCCCAGGACTCAATGGGACGCTGGTTATCTTTGGAACATACAGATTATTCTTATAGGTCACGTAATCCTGTTACACTGGAGAGATCCACACTCTTCGCATTGGACAGCCTGGTCTTTGCGAGTTGTCGATAAGCATTAAAAGCTGAGCGCAACCCCCGCAGAACTATGGTCCCACTCCTTTCTAGAGCCTGAGTATTTCCTGTAGGTCCACTATATGTACAGCTCCTTTGCAGTGTCCAGAAGAAGTATAACGTGTCTGTGGAGCCAATGATGAGGGCGAACGAGATGTCTATTCCATTGATGCAGCCAAGATCACTGTCCATGTAGCCGGCCATCCTCTCGCCTCATCCTGCCTTATCTGAAAAGACCTATAGAGCATGACACAGGGACTGACATAAGACACCAACACAAGAAACCAGCCCCATGGCTCCCCACAGGCTCCCATTCCACATCAGAGGTGCCTGCAGGGGCTGTCAGTGTGTAGAAAATAAAGATTCCTTTCAGAGGGATAGTGAACGCGACGGAGGATGAGGGTAGCAGGGTGGAAGGCCCCCCCCATAAAATGTCTGTGAAGTCTTTTCCTGGGAAGGGGGAGAGGGGCGCTCCACTCATCTTCCAGGTATCTCAGAGCTCCCCCCCCATCTCCACAGTCACCTTCTTCATCAAAACTTACTGAGGGTGTAGAGGATGGAGAACAAGAGGCAGATGATGGCCAAGGCAGCCGAGGTGGAGCTGCTTGTGTTGTGCGCGGCTCCCGGTCCTGCAAAGAGAAACGTCATTAGCCATCGGCGGTAGCCAGAGAAAAGAGTCTTACTTTATTCTGGGATCATTTATGTTGCTTATGGTAACAATGTGAAAATCTGATCTGATCTTTGTGGGGTGACCATAGCAAGCATTGTCTAGCAGAATGGACTGGATGAGTCCAGGAGAAGTAGGAGCTTCTCCCACCAGCCTTACATTCACCTATGACCTATGAAACCCTCCCGGGATATAGGGAATGGCAGGTTCAGAATCAAAGTCTGAAATCTGACTGGCTGCCAAGGGG